GCTACTAGCTGTTCCAGGACATGTTCCAAAAACAATACAGAGAAACCCTGTTTGGAAAAAAAAAAAGAAAAGAAAAGAAAGAAATGCCTTGTACATTTTTTACCAGTGAAAATTGTTTACATTGTGTCTGTCATGTACAGTACTTTTGGGGTATGTTTAGCCTTTTCTCTATCAAGTAGTATTTCTGGTACAAATCTTTTATTAATCTTTAATAACCAACATATGAGATTTTCTCAGGCTATTGGGTGTTAGCTCCAATTTGTCTTGCATGTGTGTTTGGTGGCAAGGTCTCACTACATATCTTTCTGGCTAGCTTCAAACATGACCTCCTTCATCAGCCTTCTATGTTATGGGGTACATGTGTGAGCCACCATGGCTGTTTTTGATGTTGTTATTCCTCTTATCCAAGGAATCATTGCTAAAGCCAATGTTGTCAGGTTTTTTAATCCTTGTTTCTCTAAGTTTAAGAGTGTTGGGTCTTGAGCCGGGCGTTGGTGGTGTATGCCTTTAATCCCAGCACTAGGGAGGCATAGACAGGCGGATCTCTGTGAGCTTGAGGCAGGCCTGATCTACAGAGCAAGTTCCAGGACAGGCTCCAAAGCAATACAGAGAAACCCTGTCAAAAAAAAAAAAAAAAAAAAAAAAAAAACACTGCTTGGCCTTAGGTGCAAGTCTTTGGTCCACTTTTAGTTGATTATTTAGTATATGTTTTAGGTGAGCATTTACCTCCATTATTCTGTATGTGGGTACCCACTTTTCTTAGCACTATTTGTTAAAAAGATTGTTCTTTTACTAATGAATAGTTTTTGTCACACTTGTCTAAAATTATTTGCCCATATATGAAAGAGTTTGTTTGTGGCCATCTGTTCCATTGTTGTATGTCTATCTGTCTGTCTATGTCAGTCCCAGATTGTTAGTTTTGATCCCTCCTAACTTTAGAATAAGTTTTAAAATAAAGAAGGTTTACTGTTGTCAGGCCTTTGGTTGTTTGGGAGATTTGATGTTTTCTGTTTTAAAACACTGTGTTCTTAGTGTCTTCTAGATAGGAATCCTTTGCCAGGTGAAGAGCTAGAAAAAAATAAAAAATCTTCTATTCTGTGGGTACCGAACAAACACCATTTCTTCTGCTGGGCCTAAGATTTTCAGTTTAATGACATCATTTGCCAGATGGTGGCACTGTTTCCTATTCAGAAAGTGCCTGCCATGAGGGTAGCCTGCAGTGTTTCAGCTGCTTCTTTCTCTTCAAGTTCTAGAGCTTTAGGTGGAGTAGAATGGTCTTGGAACCATTTGAACTGCTATTCCTACAAGATAGGTGTGTGTGTGTGTGTGTGTGTGTGTGTGTGTGTGTGTGTGTGAGAGAGAGAGAGAGAGAGAAAGAGAGAGAGAGACTCAATTGCATCCTACTTGTGGCCATCAAGTTTTGCAAGGAATATTTGTTGAAGGTAATGTCTGTCCTTTGTCAAAAGTATGTTTTCATTTGTATCTTGATGAAAAGTCAGGTGTCACTGATTCCATGCAATCACAATGTCATCAGTTTATCCAAGTATCTGGATGTCAATAAACAAAATGCTATTGTGGCTTTTTTGAGGTTCCACATGAATTGAGATTTATAAGAAAATTCCAAGAGTCTAGCTGGGTAGACCCTCTGGAGTCTGGAGTCTGGCTGTGTCTGGCCTGATAGTGACTGCTATGACTAATTGGCCTGGAATTTGCAGTCCCCATCCCCTACCAATGCAGACAGAGTGCTGGGATTACAGGTTGGCCTCTTCACACATCAACACTAAGCATACAATTAAGCAAACATTGACCAGTAACACAAGAGATATGAGCTGATTTCTGGGAGCTTCATAGAGCCCTGTAGAGCCGGTTTCTCTCTCTGCAGATGGTGTACTGTGTGACTGAAGAGTGAGTTTTCTAAGTCTAGTCAATGCACTTCCCTTTTATTGAAGGCAAGTTTTTTGTTTGGTTTGTTTGATTGGTTGGTTGGTTGGTTGGTTGTTTTGCTTTGTTTTTTGGTATTTGTTTTTTGGTTTTTTGTTGTTGTTTGATTGTTTGTTCGGGGGTGTTTTGTTTTTTGTAGTTTGCCAGTGGCCATCAGAGCCCCAACACAGCTAGGAAGCTGTATTTCGCTGTGTGTTTTCAGCAAGGCCAACACAAGCCTGCAAAGGGATGCTTCTGCCACGTCCTCCTCTCCCACCAGAACCTCTGGTTTCGGGCTTCCAGCACAGAAAGAAGACAGGGTTTGCCCTCTTCCCTGTAAGAGTCCCTTACCCTCCACCAGACTTCAAAGCTGGCTACCAGTTCCAGAAGCTGTTCCACACCTGTTATACAGTCCTCACCCGGTGAAAATTCCCCTGACATGGCTTAGCAAGGCAGAGGCCAGGACTGCCAAGGTCGGGACTCATGATGCTGGGGCTCTGCAGCTGTTCCTTGTGAGGCATCCAACACCTCTTTGTTCCGTATAGACCAGAAATTTGGTCTACACCACTTCCAGGAGGATGACTTACGTATTAGCTATAGCGATTTACATCAGCATTTCACTTGATGCAGCTCGGGGACAATGAACCAGCCGCAGCCAGCCTGCCGTGAAGTCTTAAACCATCTTGGTTCATCTCTGCTGTAAAATCTTGTACAGAATTGGCTTCCCAGAGACAGTTTTTCAGTCTTACATAGTTTAGAACAACAGCGTTTGCTTAGTAAATCGGTGACAATGAGGCAGAGCCTGCCTCAGCCAGTGGGCTCCAGGGAGAAGCCCTGCTGTCACTGGCTACCCTTGTGTTGGCCCTCACCAAGTGGGCAAGTTGTGAAGCAGACAGCAAACTCAAAAACAAAACGATTAAAATTATATTGTTTATTTAAAAGCCAAAGCAAATGCTGCTGTTGGAAAGAAAAGGGTGGACACATCCGCCAAGAAATGAACCAAAGGCCCATCATGCTGCAAGAATTCAAAAGCCCCCAGAAGTGTCTGCACTACTGCACTGAGTCTCTGGTGGACTATTGGAGAAACCACTATACAGGCTGCTGAGCACCCGGGGTGTCCCCTCGCAAAGCTGTCCTTGTCCATGTCAGGGTGGGACTTGGCACTGCTCATCAACCACAGCTAGGGCAGTGCTAAAACGCACAGTGAAATCCAGAAACAGTTGCGATGGCAGCCCTCTAGCTGTGCTGGTGCCCAAATGGCTCCGTGGGGGTGGCGGGGGGAGACTTCCTTTAGCTAAAGGGAAGCACAGCGGCTAAGCCTGGAAAACTCTAAAACTCACCTTCACAACCCATAATGCAGAGAGTGGCCATATGCAGAGAGAATCTGACTCCACTGAGCTGTATGAATCCTGCATTGTGCTTGAAAGACAGGAAACTTCCGGCTATCATGGGGATTTAGGGGATGGACGCCATGTGAATTACGACTTCTAAGAAAATTTCCAGTCCTGCTCAGTGGCCAGGACTGGGTGCCCTGGAGTGACTGGCAACCGCTGAGGGTGGAATGCCTGGGTTACAGGTTGGTGGATTATACCTTTGTGCCCATATTTCAGGGATTCACCTCTCTTGACAGTCACCCTTAGTTCTCAGAAGCTCTCTGGCCATCCTTCCCCTCAGAAGATTGGAACCTTGTGGGTAGAACACGAAGAGAGTGTCGGAACCGTGAGGGAAGACACCAAGACAGGGTCAGATCTCGACGGAAGTGAACCGAAAGACCGTTGGAGATTAGAGAGTTAGGGGAGGCACTCAGAACCGTTGGGAAGGGCTCCAAGAGAGTTGGAAATCTGAAGGAGAGGTGCCAGCAGAACACAGGCAGGCCCCAAGACAAAGCTAGAGCACTGAGGTAGGAGCATCGAGAAAGGAGAGAGAGAAAGAGAATTGAAGAAGGGTATAAAGAGGTGGTGGAACACAGAGGCAAGGTTGACAAAGGAGGATCTGAACCCTGAGGGAAACGAGACAGGTTCCCCAAAAGAGGGGTGCAAGAAGACATTTAGAGTGGAGGTGTGAAAAGAGGTTAGGTCCTTGATGGGGGCTCCAGAAGAAGTCTTAGGTACTCACAGTGACACCCAAGAGAGTCGCATACCTAAAAGAAGGGGGCCAAAAGAGGTTTGCAGGCCTAAGGAAGGGCATTAAGAGAAGTTGAGACGTGTAGCTTTTAAGGAAGTGCACTAAGAAATGGTTAGATCCCTGAGGGAGAAATAGTGAGGGTCAGAGAAAGTCAGAGCCTTGATAGAGGCTACCAAGAAACAGAGTTCTGAGGGGTTAGAAGAGAGGGCCAGAACTCTGAGAAAATTGTATAAAGAGAGTTCATCCTTCAACAAAGGATTCCAAAGACTGTTAAAGCCCTGACAGTGGGTCAAAGCCTTGAGAGAGGGGAGACCCTTAGTGCCAGGAGGGAGCAGGAGTTGTGCCAAGAAAGGGAGTGCCTGAAGGTAGGGTACCAAGAGAGTCAGATCCCTGAGGGAGGAGTTTCAAGAGAGGATCAGAGCCTTGAGAGAAGATTTCCAAGAGAGCTTCAGAGCATCAAGGAGAGGTGCAAAGAAAGGAGAGACCAGAAGGTGTGGCTGAGATGTCAAAACACAAAGGGAAGTGCACCAGTACACCAAGAGGAGAGAGAGAGGGGGAAGGGAGGAAGGGAGGGAGGGGAGAAGAGAGAGAGGGGAGAGAGACTTAAAGGAAATGCAAAAAGAGATGTTTAGAACCCACCAAAAATGGACCGATGAGGGTAGGAAGTGTCTGAACCTCAGGAAACTAACAAAGAAGGTTGCAGCAATAAAGAAAGGATACTAAGAGAAGTTTAGAGCCTTGAGAGAGGTACTCAGAGATGTTTGCTGCACTGAGGGAAAGGTGTCAAGGGAAAGTTGGAGCCTTGAAGTTCAGTCCCCAGAAATTTTGAGTACTGAAGAAAGGGCCCAAGAGAAGTTTGGAGTCCTGAGGGAGGGTTCTAAGAGTGTCAGAACTTCTTTAAAAGAGCACCATGTGAGGTTGAAAGAGACAGTAGGAACCCTGTCATATACCAGGAAATGGTTGTGGCCCTGAGGAAGAGCTGGTGAGGGAGGTTGGAGCCCTGAGGAAATGGTACCAAGGGTAAGCACCAAGAAAAGGTCAGAGTGAGTGAGTCATGAGTGAGAAGTACAAAAGAGACCTAAGTTTGGAGCTGTGAAGTCAGTGGACAGAAAGGGGTCTGCAGCCCCTAATGGAGGAAGGTAGAAGTTTGGAGAGAGGGGACTCCAGAGGGGATCAGAACTCTGAGAGAAGGGTGTCAAGAGAGACTCAGGGCCCTCACTGAAGTGGTCCCAGAGTTTCTGAGCACTGAGGGGAGGATGCCAAGAGAAGGATGGAGCCCCAGGAGACTCTTGAGAGAAATGTATGCTGAGAAGGTTCATTAGAAGGGAGGGTCAGAATCCAAGAGAGAATGAGAATTGTGAATAGAGATTCAGAGCCTGAGAGGAGAGTTCCAAGAAAGGTTTAGATCACTGCATGTGGGTTCTAAGATACTTGGAGCACTAAGGGAAGGACCTAAAGTTAGTGTGAGTGTTTTCAGAGAAGGATATCAGGAGAGGGTGGGAGGCATCTTAGGTGCCCTGTGACATTCAGAACCTTGGAGGATGATCACCAAAAGAGATGTGGATGGATTAATGGGGCTAAGAAAGGCTCAGAGCCCTGGTGATGCTAATAGGCTAGGTACTTAGAGAGAAACTGGTCAATAGATGGTCTGAAGCCGGAGGGAAAGTTATCAAGAGGAGGAGGCTTGTAGGAAGGCACAAGAGCTTCTCAGAGCCCCAAAGACAGGGCTCCAAGGTGAAGGGAGCAAAACAGAGCTGGGTTCCTGAAAGAGGGGCACAAAGAATGGATCAGATCCTAGTGAAAGGTGCTGAGATAGACACACATAGAGACCCAGAGAGACAGACAGAGACAGACTCAGTTAGAGCCTTGAGGGAAGGGCATCAATAGAGGGTTGGCCACTAAGAGAACGGTGTTAAGAGTTGAGGCTTGAAAGAAGGACACCAGTATGTTCAGAGGTCTGAGGGAAGGGCACAAACTGATGGTCAGAGAGGATCAAAGATGATCAGAGCCTAAGAGCACAGGTTCAATAGAAGGTAATTGGGAAACTGAGACACCCAGACAGATCCTAAGGGAGGAGCAGCAAGTGCCAGGGTCTGAGGAGTGATAACAATAGAGCCCTGCAGGAGGAATGTCAGGTGAGGGTTTTCAATCTTGTGTTGTGAGTGGGGAGAGAAGGGCACTCCTGAGCTTGAAGTTTGAAGAAAGGAATGGAGGAACAAAGTTCTTTGTGTGTGGACAGTCTTTAGGATGGTCTCCAGAAAGAGGATGTTGTTAAACTTATTCCAGAAGGGACTTCTAGAACATTCCCCTGAGTACAGACAAGTCCAGGGGGCTTGCAGAGCTTGAGTAACCAAGCTAGAACATTCCAGAAGGGCAAATCAGATTTCAATGAAGCAACAAAGTTCCAGATATGAGATTATAAGATCCAGCACAATTGGGCTGTTCCACAAGGAGAGCCCAGGTGACTCACCAGGATTATTCTAAAATGCACAAGAAGAAAATGAGCAAAGTTTCCAACAAGAGTAGGGTAACCTTAAATCCAATGTTAGGGTGGAGAGGACAGGTTGGGAGAGGAGGATGTGGAGTATATCCATAGGTGAAAGAATATAAGGGAGAAGATGGCAGAACCATCAGGACAGTTTCAGAAGTGGGAAGCAAGATTCATGTAGGTAGCAGAGCAGGATGGAGTAAGCTAGGATCTGAAGCTCCTATGGTAGGACCAATAGGTTAGGCTGCTGAGGTTGAGGCCATAGCCATAGATAACTCCTCTGTGCATTGATACTGAGGACACAGACCTGGATCAAGAGCCTTGCACTTACAATTGGCCATGATTCTCTTCACTTTCAGGTTCACCTGTGTGTTAGAGATTATGCTTCCCTTCTTCTGGTTAATTCTCCTGGGCCTTTCATGGACAGACACCAGTGTCAACAGGGCCAGTGTGGAAGGCAACAGTACCAGTGAATTGGGCATTGCCATCCAACCTAAGCAAGGCAAGTATGATCTCAAGACTCCCAGTTTGTTGGATGGAAGGAGACTCCACCTAGAGCTGACCAGGGTTATAAAAAGACTTGTTTGGGATTGGGCTCACCAGAATCAGGTGGCAAGCACTGAGCCATCTCATTGACCCTTTTGTTGTTTGAGACAAGATTTGTTTCTTTAGTTTAAACTCTCAGAGATAGCCCTGCTTCAGTCACCCATGCCCTGAGATTATATGTGACCCAGGACATTTAGCTGTTGCCACTGTTCCTAGCTTTTAACAAACAGCTCCAGCCAAACTACTAAGGAAGAACTCAAGAACCTGTACATTCATTCTCATGCACTGGGTGAACTCTCTTTCTGAAGACATTGGTGGTGCACACCTTTAATCCCAGCCAGCACTCAGGAGGCAGAGACAGATTGACCTTTGAGTTCAAAGCTAGCCTTGTGCACAGAGTGAGTTCCAGGACAGCCATGGCTACACAAAAAAACCTTGTCTCAGAAAATCTAAAACAAAAGGAGGCTGGTGTCTACACCAGGCAGCTCTGTTCACTAGACATGTATCATGCTGTCACAATGACACTTTTCCATTTCTAATAGCAAAAACAAGGAGGGGGATTATTTACTTATTATTTTGCCTCATAATAACTTTCTTTCACCATGTTTAGATATGGTTTTAGCATTTGACATGCTTATAGAGGTATTCCTGAGATTCAACATGGTTGAATAGACTGAAGACTATAGAGAGCTGCTGACCAGGAGACCTGAGGGAGCATCTGCCCATACCACTTCTTGGCAGGGACAGCAGGTGCTGAGTCCAGAGAAGCCCTGGAGGATTGTGGTGTCCTGGGTGGCCACTGTCCCACAGAGGGATAGGCATCTTTGAGGAACTTAGCTGATTTCCATGTGATTGGCCTTTTAGAAAAAGGAAAGTTTCTTGGTGGCTCCACTGCTGTTCTGGGACCTGGTCTGGCTCTGCCTTAGACTATGCTAGGATGTGAGGTCTATAGGCCTTGGGGTGGCTTGTGTAGAGGACTGCATTGGGAAGCAGCTCTGAGAGGAGGATGGTGGGAGTTTAATGGTGGAAAGACTTCTTGGGGAGACACTCAAGAGGAATTTTCTTTCTGCAGCTCGTATTATGAAATGTCATTTTTGTACAACAATAAACACTTTTAATTGTGGTGGCTCAAAAGACTGTCCTCAGGATTCTAGACGCTGTGGGACAATTGCTATACGTAAGTATCTGTTTTCTGGCACCCTGTAAACAAGCCTATCTGCACAAGTTTAGGGGACAGGGTCAGTCTGTTCTCCCCGCAGCCAGATGCACCAATCTTCTGGAAGCTCCTTAGACTGAAAGACTGTTCACAGGCACTGGGTTCAGCCTACTGATACAGCACTGTGCATCTGCTCATGAGGCCAAGGGCCTGTGGTTGATAGTGAGCTCACAGACTACACTCCCTGAATGTCCAGGAAAGGAGAATACTGTGGCCCCCAGGCCTTTGTTCCTGGGCATCTCTCTATTCATATGGGCACACACACTGATTCAGCTTTGCTGAATCCTTGCAGGTGTGTTGGTTTCTGATCTTGTGCATACACATCCTTCATTATTTACTTTTCTATTGCTCTGATAAACAGCCTGATGAAGATACTTTAAAAAAAAATAGGCATTTGATTAGGCTTATGTTTTCAGAGGTTGAAGTCCAAAATGGTGGAGGAAAGGTGTGATTGCAGAAACAGCTAAGAGCTCACACCTGAATCTACAAGTAGGAGACAGAGAAGAGCTAACTGTGAAAGGTGCTAAGATTTTGCAATCTCAAAGCCTGCCCCCTACCACTGACACACCTCCATGTGCCCACACCTTCTAATTCTTCCCAAAGGGTTTTAACAACAAGATATCAATTATTTATACATTTGAGCCCATGGGGGTAATTCTCATTTACACAACCACACACTCCCAACTAGTCAGATTCAAGCACTGAGGTGCCCAGTTACTCAGGGTGATGCCTGATGATGAGATGCAAAAGCTAGGTCTAGATCAGGACAAAAACAGGCAGAAGAAACTTTACTTAAGTAAGCAGTAATCTGTTGTGGAGGAGACAGGATAGACTCTAAAGAAGATGTAAAAGTCCTCAGTCATGTATATCAAGTTACATATGGAATGGGCAGGGCAAGAGACAGTATTTCTAAATTGTAGGCAATCAGGAGCTCTGACATTCTCATTTTAAATGTCCCCTATTATGGTGTCTAGATTGAATAGCACAAAGGCTACACTCACTATGGCTGTACATCAGGGATGGAAGAACTTTGCCTGGAAAGAAACAGGCAACAATGGTCTTAGTCCTCCTGAGTTCATGTGGGTGGGGGGCTGCTTGGTTCATGATCATAAGGTCCTGATGTTGAGCAGCAAACAAGTCTCAGGGCTGTGGATGCTAAAGTAGTCCAGGTTACTTCCACAGCAGAGGAACTAAATAATGGCTGCAGATAACCAGGGGAACAAGCAGCAGCAAGGCCTCAAGACTTTAGCCCAAGGCATCCAGTAGGGGTGTTGCCAGTAGGGCTCAGTTCACACAAGCATAGTTGGCTGAAACCAGTGGTGACAGAGGTCTTGTTCTCTATGGAGCCTTGCTAGGAATGGGCCATCTAATCTGTGCTGGAGAACATGCCATCAAGGTCCCCTGTGCTTTGGACATAGAAGCCAAAACTTGGACAGCCAGGCAGAGGGTTGGGGGAGGACTTCATCCTGAAGTCATGAATGTGAGCACTCCTCTGTGCCCTTGATCATCTCTGGAGTCTCAAAGAGCAAAGCTTCTGGTCACTGTTTCCTTCTAGACCTTGGTGATGAACTTTAGGATAATATTAGAACCAGCACTGAAGAAGATATTTCATTAGCATTGCTGTGTGTCCTGAGACTAAATTGTCAGCTGGGGAGGGACAGTGACAGACATATGAGGTAGCAATGCATAGACAGGTCAGTGTGGAATTTGGTACTGGAGCAGTATACCTGGTCCTTTTCTATCAAGCATTCTTGACAATGTCCTCTTGTTGAATAGTACTTTCATACATTGTAAACAAGTGTTACTATATCTGGTTCAGAGCTGAATAGCCAATACCTAGACAGGATTTTCAGGGCAGAGGGGATGCTGCTAGGAAGGGTGGAGCCACCAGCTAGATGAGGAGGAAGTATGAGATGTAGGATATGAGTTTACAAGTCATGAGCCATGTGCCTAGTTGTGGTTGACTATGGTGCTGGGTTTACAATGGAGATGAATGTAGTAACTCTCCTGCTGGCATCCTTTCTAGGTATGAACTCTAGAGCACTCTTAGTCTTCAAACATTGCATGAAGGACTGCCCGTTTGTGCTTATTCAGCCTCCACCAACTGAGTTGTCAAGAAGGCTTCCAAACACCAATAGCTTCTACTATTCCAACTGCTGCTCTGGCGTTCTTTGTAATGATGGAGGACCTACTAATGTAGAGAGGGACTTGTTACCTCCCCTTGTGGTTGAAGAAGATGTGGTTGCCAGAGCTGTGTCTCCGGAGGAGTGCAACCTTCTCCTGACCCTTGCCTTAATCCTCTCCAGCAGCATACTGACCTGAGAAACCCTCCCTGGGGTGTAGTCATTTTCCCACAGTTGTAAGAAATTTTGTTCTTTGATGTTTCCTTGTGATGCAGAGACAGTGTTCAGACCATCTCTTGGACCTAATCATAGCTTATTGTAGGAAAGAAATAAATTAATGCTTTCTTGAAAATGCCCCTGGCCGTTATTTCTTGTTGTTCTGGAGCTCTCTACTCAGAGAGAGTTTTGGTCTGGGCTCTCTACTCAGACCAACTCCTTCCTCTTCTATATGCTTAAGCACACTTTGTGGGATCATGGTTTCAGCTGCTTGACACCCTTTAAACACTGTAGGTTAAATAATCATCTCACTAGGTGAGGGGGACCTTGTTTGGGGGATCTTGGCAGATTCCATGGCAGGCAAGGGTGACTGAAGTGAAAGGACAAACATGCCAGCCAGCCAGACCTTAAGTGAGATGTTTCATTAGAAAGGGGAGGGAGGGGGAAGGAAAGAGAAAAGAGGTAAAGAGACACAGAGACAGAGAGGGGACAGGAGAATCCTGTCTCTCCTAGGGGAACAGAAGGAAAGAGAGATATAATAAGATTGGAAAAGAGAGTGTGGAAAAAGAGTAGGAGAGAGAGCATAAATGGGCAGAGGTCTTTCTTTTAAAGTGGTCTTTTGAACCTGGGGTGACTAGGGTACGTCCTGAGTGCATTCTGCTAGGTGATAGGGGCAAGCCAGCATAATGTCTGAATTCTTACATTCCCACCTTATTATGAAAAAGGTGAGGAGTTAGGCATGGCAGGTTATGCAATAAGGGTGTCAAGTTCTCAAGGTTACTCCCTGCTGACCTAGAAGGCATCAACTATCTTTGCAGGATCTGAGAAAGCTGGGGTGCTACCACATCTTGGGGTAGCTGGTTGTTTCATTGCAGTCCAGGATGTATGGGACTCGCTGGCACCTCTTAGACCTGGCAAGAAATTGGCAGAGCAGAAGACGAGGTTAAGTTTATGTAAAAAAGAAAAAAAAAATCTTAGGTCCTAGCACTTGAGGGGAGAAGGATCCTAAAATGAGGAAGGGGTTCCTGAGCACTCCTAAGATGAGGCAAGGGAGTCTCGAGACCAGGGAATGGTTGAATAACATTTATTTGGAGTGAATGTGACCTGTTTGGATGGGTTCAATTAAGTTCCGTGGATCTTACAAGAATCCTTTGAGTTTGTAAAAACTTAAGTTTTAGCACATTTATTGATTAATTTTAAGACTATGAACAGTAGCATAATGAGTTAATGATATCTGATAACTTGCATTTGTACAATTTAAGCTACTTTGTTATACCTTAAAACATTTTTAGATCCTTACATCTTAAGCTTTTATAGTCTATAAGCTTTATACCTTAAAACACCTTTTTAAACAAAGGAATGGTAAGAAGTTATACTGAAACCAACAGTCATCACACTGCATTAGAGTTCTTGAGCAGAATAAAATTTTAGCTGAATTAATGATAACAGAATGACACAAACTTACTAGCTGGCCACATGGACAGACACTCCCAAAGTCCCTCATAGTTGTTGAGGGCAGAGGCTTTATGGATGGCTGCCTTCTGCTATTAGCTCAGGGCCTGTGGATTAGGAACTCTAGGAAGACTTGCCTGCCGCTGGCCTTAGCAACATGGAGAAAGTCTATTCCACTTTCCTCTTGTTCACGGTCTGGAGTCCTTTGCGGCAGTTGAGGTGAAAGGTAGGTTTGCTCAGTGGTTAGCATTACCACTTCCATGGGTGGAATTTCTTCAGTGTCTACAAATGTTCTTGGAGGAAATTGGGTGGTACCAGCACCTGGCCTGACTCTCTGTTATAAAAAGCTTTTTAATAAGATATTTTACATGCCATATACTCTAGATCTCTGAGCATTTTGAGGTCTTTCTATTTATTATATCTCACCAGACAAAATTTGTCTTTAGTTATTTGCCTTAAGCACATTGGTGGCTAGGTAAGGCATTATCACTGTAATTAACTACCCTGTACTTAGTATGGCTAGAATGACATTAGTTAAGGAGCTGTCTGGAAAAATGGATCCAAGCTGAGAGGCTATGGAGAGATGTTTTATTCAGAGCCCTCCAGCCTGACTGCATCTGGTTTTAACTTAGTAGGTTAAATTTATGCCTGTAAAGGACAAAGAAATAGAGAAAATTTTCCTTTTGTAATAGAAGCTTAACCTTTGTAAACAGCTTATGGGAAGGACTGGGAGGTGTAGATATTTTGCTAATTTGAAATAGATCTTTATAAATTTATATATTTTTTAAATATTTTTTATTTTTATTTATTTTTATTTTAATATTTTTATAAATTTATAAATTATAAATTTTTATAATCATTTAAAGATAAATAACAATTTAGAAATAATTGAGACTTCACACAGTTGAATGTAAGTTGCATAAAGAGTTAGCTAACATTCACATATACAAAGTTAAATTTAAATCATATGTGCAGAGACATGAAGGTATGTCAAACAGGACTGGGTAAAAGTAAGAATGGGAGTGATGGGAGATGTCATTCTGTAAATATGTTTCTCTTATTGGTTAATGAATAAAGCACTGTTGGTCAATAGGAAAGCAAGATAGGTGGGACTAGGAGACTAGGAGGAAAAAGGAAGTAGTAGACAGGAGATCCAAAATGGAGGACGGAGAGAGCAGAATGCCAGCTCCTCTCTCCGGTAAGAAAGGACCACATGGAAGTACTTAGATTAATAGAAATGGGTTAATAATTAAGACAGAGCTAGCCAATAAGAAACTAGGAATTGACCAACAGCATTATATCAAATACAGAGTCTCTGTGTGTTATTTGGGGCTGGCGTGGCAATGGCTCCAGGCCAGCAGAAACACTACTCATAACATGGGAGAACCAGAGTATAATCTCTGATTTGTAGCAAACAGACAGGACTGCTTGTTTGTTTCTGTTATGCCTACTGGGTTTCCTCAATCTCCAAGGAAGTGACTGCTGACAGCAAAACCAAAAGATTTTTTTATTGCTAAGAACTGAACTGGCTGAGACCTCACTCTATCAGAAGAGTAAGGCGCTCATGTACCCTTTTTTTTTTTTTAATCATTCCTATATCATATTCCCCATTTTCCTTTAGAAAAAGATCTTTGAATTGAACTCTTTTGTTTAGCTTTTTTCTTGACCGTGACCAACAACAACTTGTGACCAACCACCCTTTAAGGATAACTATCACAGTTAAATAAGGATCAGGATAAACAAATAGGCCAAATAGATGTTTATTCAGGGAGAAATAACTTACAACCTAGACAGATGAACACCAGGAAATTCAACCTGATCCTCTCCTGTCCAAGTCACACCAGCAAGAGAGCTTTTCCTGGCTCTTCCCCTCCCCCCCCCACTTCTTTCCACAGGTCACTTCCGCCCATCGCTCCACCCCCCAATGGGCGTGGTCAGTGCCACAGAAGGACTATCTCACTACAATTCCCCTTTTAGTCTAAAGAAAAGATTTAGGCTTAATACAAAACTATAAACAAAACAGTGAATAACAAGTGTGCTCTAAGAAAAGGAAAATCGAGAACAAAATGACCTACATATCTAGTCCTAGGGTGAAGGCATAACGGAGTTTACAATAGATGTCCTAAGCTGGAAAACGTAAATCTAGTACCTAATATATCTAACTAGGAAGAGAGAATAATAGTTGTGATCGTTTAATCTTCAACCTCATCAAGACCTGAGAAGGAAAATAACAATACTAGAGTAGACAGGAAGTGCAGATGGACAACTTCCAAAAGGTGCAGCAAGGACAGAAACAGCAAGCCACCTGAACAGTCACCCTAGGTCTCACAGCAACGTTGGTACACCCAGATTTGGCTATGGCCAAGAGAACTTGACAGACCACAACAACAGCAGGGAGGTAGAATGGCTGTCTTAACCTGACTTGGCAAGGTCAAGCAGTCTTCTATATTTGTCTCCTGCAAGCACATAGGACTGCATGTCCAAATCAGTGGTCAAGGTGGGGGCAATTCTTTGCCCAACAGGCCATTAGCTGAGGCGAGAATGAACTCCAGCAGGAGCAACAACAGTGTCCAACATATTTTCGGGAAAGTGCACGGTGCTGTCAGGAGCAACAGTGTCTCATGTCAATGGAGTACTAATATTAAAACATTTAAATGCCATGTTCTGCATGTCTATGAAGTGATTGAAGATTAAGCATCTATATCTGACTAATCTCATGGGTAGAGGAAACATGAGTGAAGATAATCTGTAATACTCAGGAATTTAGCTAAAAGACTGATTAAAACTTCCCTGAGTAAAGCAAGAACAAATACTTAAACAATATAACTATTTACATATACATACATGTAAATCCCTAAAATAGAGGTAGAGTATAAGTGTCAAGACAAGAGGTAGAACTATAAAGGGCAGCAAGATAAATAATCCCAAATTGTATCAATATACAAAATGTCTTGAATACAAGAAAAGTATACATACATAGAATATGGTAAAAAATAATGTGCATAAAACATTGTAAGTGGAAAGATTTAACACAATATAACAAAATATAAACTTAATTTTACATAGCTTACTACATAAGAATACATAACAATGTAAGCTGTTTTGAATGTTGGATCACCAGCGACTCTGTTTCAGGGGGCCTGGCTTGATCAAACCACATTAGTCTGGAAGGAATCCACAGCTTTTTATTTTCTGTGGAAACAAAAATAGAAATCCTTTTCCCCAGTAACTTGTCCTTAGACTTAAATTTTTGAGTCAAAGCATTTTTAAAATATATAAATTGAATTAATCCAGCAACATTTGTTTTAACAGTTGTTTCCTCAGCAGTCAAACAATATAAAGACAATATAATACCATACAGTAACCAGATTCTCTCTGAGCTTTTCATCTTTACGTGGCTTTATTATTACTCCATTTCTTATACTTTTTATTTTTTATTTTTTGAGACAGGGTTTCTCTGTGTAACTCTTATCTGTCCTGGAATTCACTCTGCATACCAGGTTTACTTTGAAATCACAGAGATCTGCTTGCCTCTGTCTCCCGAGTGCTGGGATTAAAGGTGTGTGCCACCACACCCAGTTCCTTTTTCTCTTTTTAAAACCATTTCATTTTTTTTCCAGTTCTACATATATTTTAAAATACACTGTAAACCTTTAGAGGTTTTTCTTAATATGAATCTGTCTTTACTGTAAATCTTTATCTTTTTCTGGCCACGAGTCTTTTATCTGGTAAATAACAACATTGCTAAAATGAAATTCATAGTTGTTTCTGCGGCGGTTTATCAAACATGGTGGCAGCTATATTACCTCCAGCACTGAGAGCTGTGGTCACCACCTTGGTCTGCTTGCTGCCATCCAGCAAGGATGCTGCCAGCTTGGAGATGTGGTCACTGCCATTGCCATCTCTCATACACACCAATAAATTGTTAGCAGAGTTTTTTAAAAGCCGTGGGGTTTTTTTGCCGCTTATGCTGAGTCAGGAATCTTCCCTTAAAGGAGCCGCACAAATATCTGCTTGTCTCTCGCAAAGCAGAGTTCATCCGAGAAAAATGCTGCTACCAAGAAACCTTGCTTATCTCTGTTCTTTTGTTTCTAAAACCCTTTTTTAAGCTTTTGTTAAATTTTAAGTGGAAGTTTTTACTAGCCATGTGGGAGCCATCTGTAAGGAGTCCACGTTGGGTGCCATTTGTAAGGAGTTAGGGTTTTTCCGCCTGCCGCTCGGTCTTGTCCTGCTGCCACGCCAGCCCCAAATAATGCACAGAGACTCCGTATTTGATATAATGCTGTTGGCCCATTATTTGTTTCTTATAGGCTAGCTCTGTCTTAAGTATTAACCCATTTCTATGTATTTCCACGTGGTTTCCTTACCAGGGAGTGAGGCAGGCATCTGGTCTCCCCGGTCTCTCCATGTTGACTCCTCCTTACTACTTCCTCTTCCTCCTTGACTCCTAGTCCCTCCTATCTTCCTTTCCTATTGGCCAACAGTGCTTTATTATTAACCAGTATGAGAAGCATATATACATAATGGCATCTCCCATCAGATAACAAACATCCATAACCCATCTTTTGGGAATATGGGTTCTCTAGACTGCTTCCTGTTTTCTGGAGGCACTGGCATCTGTAACTTGAATAACAAATGACCCAAGATAGATATTGGGATTCAAGCTGATGGTCAGATAAGTGAAACAGCCAGCAACTAGCTCTTACTTCTATCTCAGACTGAAAAGGTGATCCTGTCTCCATGAACTCTCCACCAAACCTCTGACTGCTGCCTCTCCTCAATGTTCCTGGGGAATAAATCTACATATGAGATCCTTTGCTTTTTCCATTTTTACCTCCATAGTGCCGGATTAAAGGCATGTGATTGCAAATGCTGAGGTCACCTTTGTGCGAAATGTTTTTCTTTAGGCCTGGATCAATTTCATGTAGCTCTCAGTGTGATCTTGAACTCACAGAGATCCATCTGCCTGTCTTCTGAGTTCTGGAATTAAAAGTGTGTGTCACCACTGTCTAGCTCTATGGCTAGCTAATATGGCTGCTAGGATTAAAGGTGTGCATTACTACTGCCTGACCTCTATGTCTTGTGGCTAGCTTTGCTTTCTGTACCCTCAGGCAAGCTTTATTAAATCATAAATAATATATTACCACAGGCACCTTTGGGGAACCTTGAGTAAATCAGGATAATTGGATGGACTATTTTACCAGCAGCCTTGAAGCTGT